CGAATCTGAATCACTTGAAAAAAACACGGGGGGTGCTTAACTTTTTTCCAGGTGTATACATCGATTTGGTCTGCTTGTTCACAGAGATTTTATATCCGAGCAGGGTGACTTTTATTACATATATTATTCATTGTTGGTTGTTGAACAAACTAAATAATTTCAAAGCCTAAAGTAATCAAAAATCATTTTATTCTCTTCGAAGGAAACTCTTAAATGGAAAGAGGATTAAATTAAATGTCCTTCTATGTCAGTAATAAGAAAACAAGTATATTAGAACGATTCAATCAACTTCCTTTATCAGGCAGTCACACTGATAATATATATATTTGTGTTTATGTTTATTGTTTTTAAAATGTTAATGAATAGCCTCCATGTGAATCTCCACCTGTTTGCATAAGACGGATACATTTTTTCTCGTTAGTAAGTCATAATGGCCACGTTGACAGATGTAAGTTGATATATTTCTCAAACATTTCTGGTTTAAATGCTTATGCTAAGGTTGTGGAGATTGGATATCTGTCGTTGTCGTCGCTTGTAGCATGGGTGATTACCCAAGTCTATTTGTTAATTATTAGATACTCATTAGTAAGTATCTAAGTTTAGGATACTAATGTGCTGCTTTCCTCGGGGTGGGAAGTTCTAAGGGAGTTTGCAGTGGTGGTAGTAGCCGGGATTCGAACCTGGGACTTCTTTATTAAAGCAGATTTGATGTAGAATCCATTAGTCTGGGGTTTACTCCCGTCAACGCTTGAACCTTGTGAATGGTCAAATGTAGACATTCAGGTTTTACTGACTTCTAGTCTAGCTTGAATGAGTGTGTTATTAATTAATTAAGTGGATCCACAAAGTTACTTTCATCTTTCTTTTTCTCGTGTATGGTATGTTTTCCATTACTTTCATACCATCATATATTATTACATGGTCTTCTTCTCTCATATTATGAGTTACTGCAAATAGATTGGTATTATACAGTCTTTAATGTCTATTAGATCTCTGCATACGCCTGAATCCTGACTTTTGTTACTTTTTTTTACTCCAACGTATTGTAAATGGTGTTTGTGAACTCTTAGATAGCTTAATGTCTATTAACTGCAACCGTAATATTTTGTGAGTTCTGAGTACTGTTCTAACTATATACTGCCTACATATCCTTTCTACATTTTCAAAAACATTTTATACAAAAGAATACAGAAGCATCAATTGTTTAGTAAGGATGTAATTATGTTTATTTTTCCTTTTTCTTAGCATCTTCTATATTATAAATCTTGTTCATTCTGGAGACTATAATCAGTATATGACGCCCTTCATAACATAGTTCACTCTATAGTAAGGGAAATTACTGGTATTTGTGAACCATTGTGATATTTAAGTTGGAAACCACCAAGTCTAGCAATGTAAATTTGTTATATTCTTCTATTTCCATTGTGAAATGTATTGCTAAATATCGTCTGTTTATGTGGTTCTGAATTATAGAATCTTGTCCATGTAGTATATGTGTGTGTGTGCCCGTATCACAAATGTATCATCAACATATATAAACTAAATTCTAGGACTTAGAGCGACTGTATGAGGGAGTTTTATCTTCGAGATCTTCCTAAAAAAAAAAGTTACTAACTACTGACAATGAGGAGGTGAGCTTTACTATTTTCAAGCTGTCGGCGGAGTGTCTGTAGTATTTCAAGTGTTGGTACTCATTGTGTGAATGTTTGACACATAAAATAAATTCATGAATTAAAACAGAAATAGTTTGTCTTACGAAGCAATTATCTATCTCTGAATTTAAGTTTCAGTGTTTTTGTCAATTCACCAGTTTTGACGACTTACAATTTTCTAAGTACTATCATTTGTTATTTATCTTTATTCTAGGCATTATAGAAATAACTATTTAAATATCTAAAGAAAAACTCTAAATTTGAGCATAAAATAAGATTTTTAGCTTTCTGGGATCACGGAAAAGTCAAAAGCGTCTAAATTTCATTAGCCTTCGAATATTTTTCGGAACCCTGACACGTGGAGTTATTTGTTTAAAATATCACTTTCTGAAAATAGTTTCCCTATAGTAGGTTTATTTGTTTGAAGTTAAGCACAAAACTACACAATGGGCTATCTATACTCTGCCTACCACGGTATCGAAACCCGGTTTCTAGCTTTTGTAAGTCCGCAGACATACCGCTGTGCCACTGTGGGGGTCCTGCAGTAGGAAGAAGAACTACGGATCTCTGCTGGTTGGCAGCCAACACCAACACTTCATCAAAAACATTACACCTGGTAGTGATAAAACTGACATTATTCTCTGCAAATTTTACTCTACCTTACATTTGGAAGACGTAGCTATTGATAACGTTAGTGATCAAATAACCTAACCTACTATAACTTATGGAGAAGATAGCCAATTCAGGAAGTCATCTGGCGGCGAAAATACGTCGTTACAGAAGACAAATGAGTCACGTGATACTGTTCTTTCCACGTGCGTCTGCCAGTTTAGTCGGTGTTTTGATTAGCGTTCAATTGAAGACAGACGCGGTTCGATAGTCATTACTAGAACAATCTATTTTATTCTGAAAGGCATTTAACGAAATCTGACCAAATGCTACAAAGAAAGTTGTAGCAAGAATAGCAGACTAACAGATACAACGTGTAGATAAGCCTCTAGGTGACTGTTTCAGATATTCGTAGCCTTGAATTTTTTTGAAAGGGTGACATGTTGCACACGATGTAACATGAATTTAACAGACTTTTACCACGCGCGTCTATTTTTTCTGATTTCGAAACTGCGATTTAAGTTATTAGGAAGCCATAGTAAAATAAATATCTTAATGGCGTTCATTGGTAATGATTTTTTACTTTAAGATTGGATAATTAAAACATTATTAGAGGAATCGACTTATGTAAGTGAAGATTATTTTAAGACTATTAACTTAGATAAACTGGACTAAGTGTTAGGTATAATTTAGTTGTAGCATACACATGTCCCCCACAAGCTATATTTCGGTATTCGAATCCCCGCTGTAGACACATTAGATAGTCCAATGTGGCTTTGTTCTAACACAGACAAACAAACAAGGCACACAATAATGTAAATGTCGATTTTAAGCCATTCACACATAATTATTATTATGAAAAATGGGCCTGGCATGGCCTGGTGGTTATAATGTGTCGGTCAATCCCATCTTTCATTGGTAAAAAGTTATCCAAAAGTTGGCAGCAAGTGATGTTGACTAGCTGCATTCCCTCTAGTTTATCACCTCAAAATTAGAAACAACTAGCAGCACATAGCTCTCTTGACATGCAACAAACAAATGATTATGAAAAATACAACGATTTTTTTTTTTACACTTCTGAGAAAAACTTTGAAAGATGTCAGCGATTAGCAAAATATTCCGATTTGTATCTGAACTAAAATATGTTCAAGACATATTATTGTGATCTCCCGTTATTCCCAGTTAGTGACAAACCTGTTTCCTAAATAAAATTGGTCATGTTCAGTTGGGTGTTTCTAATCATTTTACAATATAAAGAAAAATATATATAGAAAGATGTTTCCTCAACATTTTCTTTCTGGACATGATCAAGATTGGTTGTACCAAAATGATAGATCGTCCTCCTACGTGTATTGAACACAGTTATGACATTCCTTAACTCTTATACAAGTAGAGAAACAAGGTATAAAGGCAAGGTATGAACACTAACCGTGGTTTTCTCTAAGCAACGAAGAAGATGGTGATGCTGTAGCTCGAATATATCATCGTCATTTTCTTCCATATAGTTCTCCTTTGCCTGGGCGGCGAGTTTGGCTTCGGCTGCTTTTTTCTTGCTTACGAAAGCTGCGCCACTTGTAGCTTTGGCAATTCGAATTCGAGCCATCCTAGCTTTCTGCAAAGATCAAAGATAACGAGAGATGGATGGATAGTAAGAAGATTCGTTTAAAGTTGTATCAAAATAAAATAGTTACATAATCTATGGTAATTATGGGTGACATTTATGATAATCAACAAACTAGTGTTTAAAGGGATTGATATTACTCGTTACGTTCCTTGCTGGTGTATGAGAGAAAATTATACGAGAAAAACATTGCAAACGTGTAGTTGTAAAGTAAATACTTGAGATATTTTTTCTTTACAACTTATCCAATCAAAATTGTAACAATCCCATAAGTTAATTCAAAGTTACAATTCATAATTACACAACGTAAAGCAGCTTAACAATAACAATATTCATAACACTGACAAAACAAAGCATCCTTGACAAACGTAATAATTCGATGACATAGTAATGATTAGAAAAGAAGCCCTGTACAATTAAAAACATCTCATCACAAAGAAATAATTCAAAAAACTTTTTATGACATTGTTGCATTAAACGGTGTCATTAAACGTAGGAAGCTAAACAAAAACTGACTTAAACCTTGTAAATGTTATCTCATCTACCTACCCTGGGGTGTTCTAAACCCCCAAATATAAACATAAAGAGGGTAACTTAAACATACATAAACATTAATCTGATCTGGTTTGGTGACACAGAACATAGACAAGCTGCTCTAAGCCAGCAACAAACTAATTACCATGACTATCTTATTCTACGCTACGTCAACCTATCACAGACTTCAATAGACCATTTCATTTAAGGCAAAATGCATAGAAACCAACAAAACCACACAATAAACGACAAAAGCCGATCAAACTGCGCACCATACTTAACATCAAATTAAAGTGATAGTAATATAAACTCGAAAAAACAACAGTATTATAGTAGACTAAACTTGAGTTTTAATTACGATAAAATACGGATCTGAAATACAAAAGTACTTAGCAGTTGGACCAATCCACAATTAAACTAGACCAAAGTTTATTAGGCTATCCCATCGTATCAAACATGAAGTTATTAGCATTTTATAAAACAGTTACATTCATAATATACTTATCTTCATACTTATACAAAGACACTTATCAAATACAATGTAACTATGCTCTTTTAAGTTATACGTTCTAAAAGCCATACATGTTTAATAATACTCCTAGAGATAAGCACCTGCACATGCAGTTAAAGTTTTACCCCTTTCTTTTCATATACAGTATTGAAAACAATTACGGAAACGGACGAGTGATACGTATACAGGAGTTATTAGCTATGAGTAATTACACTTAAGTGGGCAACTTGCTGTAATACATTACAGCAGCAGCTCCAAACGAAAAGTGAACAAGTTGTACAATGCACAAATTTTTGGTATTTGGTTGAAGTCGACAGAGTAGCACATCTTGCTTTAGTGCTACCGCGAATTTATCAATGTATGATTGTATTGTTCCAAATGTCCTGTATTACTTACACACTCAAACAAGTTGTTAGGCTACTATATATATATATATATTATTTTTTTTTTTTACTCTCTCAATTTCCATATAAGCCCACATAACTTTACAAATCTTCATTGTCCTTGCGAATCTTTCTCAAGTCTCCTTTTCTTTTAGATATCATTCCTCCACATTTGGTACATGCTTGTGATCAACAAGTCTTATTCCTGAGGGAATGACATGATGAATGAAAATTTATTTATGCTTGTCAGCAGTACAAGTTCCACCAGTTTTCTGTAGATCTTCAATGTGAATATCTAAGACGTAGCTCACACTTGCATTGGTCCCCCAGCATGCTTCACTTTAGATTTTGTACATTTATGACATCATTTTCCTCTCTACCTTTGAGCAAGCTATTGTAGACTGTTGTCAAACAATTTTAATTTGTATTCATTTGTAAGGAGCACCCTTCGCAAACTTGGCCCATACCATTGTTTGAAACTTGATGCTCATTTCAGTCTTTTTTATATCTTTCTTAAGCAGTGGTTTTGAGCAGCTAAGCAACCATCGAGGTTCCTTTATGCTAATTTGTATCTTACTGTTTTAACATGTAACATTCACACAGCTAGGTAATTGGCCCAATCTTTATTAGATTCTCATGTATCTTGTGAAGGGTATGCCCTAAGCTACTTAACATCAATTTGGAAGAGTTTGGAGAATGTACCTCGACTACTTCTATTAGCATTAGTACTAACTTGATGTACCATCTTCAAAATTTCCATTTAGCTTCTGTTGGAACATGAAATGTTGCTCCAATCTGTTGCATGTCGTGGCTTTCACTAAACAAAACCTAGATTTTTACACGTTTGTCATGTGGAATGTCTGTTCTGAGAGCCATAAATAGGTGTTCACCACACTACTGTTTGGAATGCTATGACAGCTTGTACTTTTATAATCATTATCTGATGTGGCAGTACATGATTGGTTGGAAGACAGTCCATTATAGTGTAAGCTACCAACACATGACTGTACTCTGGAGTTAATTTTCAGACGATAGAATAGGATCAATCCCATAATATTTACATTTTATACCCATTTTTTTCGCTATTTACATAATTATTTCCAATATTGTATGCTCATGTTCTTCACACGTTATTCTAAATAATCAAGAAACAAAATTGTTAACCTAACCGTTATTGTACAGCAATTAAACAGCTGAACTTACAGTCTCTCATTCAATATTTATAGTCATATAACAAGGGTTGAACAAAACTAGAAACAACCAGTGGAAACGGTTTAATAACGTATAGTATTACTTTCGATTGTCAGAACTACCTCATTCTTTATACCACAGCATCTACAAATTCCTGAAAGTTATACTAAGGAAGTTAGCTTCCATTTCTCAAGGACAAAATTTAACATAAAACATACCGGCCTCGTTCACTTATGATGATCTTCAAATCACTGTTACATTCAGCTGATGAAACTTATTGAATGATCGCCATGATGATATTGTTCTTATTAAAAAGTCATGAAGTTATGCAGTTTACGTCACTGAAGCTTCTATTAATCGGACTGCTACAATCTGTCCTCTTTGAAAGCCAGTAAAGTCACACTTTTCCCCATATTGATCGAAAACTAACACCACGAAATAGAGCTTACTTATGTTCAAATAATACAGATTATATGTCTAGGAGGTCATTAAAATAACAAATCAATCAGTCAGCTGGGGATCTAGTCATACATATATATATTTTCACTAAATGACAATCACAGCATAACTAATGAAAAACAGTCCTATTTAAGCCTTTCCAAAGCGTGTCATAGAGATCTACTCATTTTTGTAGAAATATTTCGCCAATTTGCATGACACTTACTTCAAAGTTGCTAAATAGTATATAGTTTTAGCTTACAAAACCATATAAGTGGATTTAATATTTCTATCATTTTTTAGAGCGTGAAATTTTCCAAATTTTTGTGAAACACTATTTTGAAAAAAGTCTTTGAAAAATTATTCTTCTCATCTTAGAATTAATTTTTTGTTGACCAGCAAATACGTTCAAATTTATACATCCAGTCAGTTTTAAGTTAATGGTTATTCATTAACATGTTTTATTTGATACGTTTTTAATCCATTTCAGTAGTCATAAGTCTGTCTATAAATCATAAACAACGCGAAAAACTGGCAAAGATGTATTGGTGACCTAGGTCCTTACCTTTCAAAATGGTATTAACATTACTTTTGTAAAACTAGACATTGCAAACCCTATCATAAATCACTCAAAAGTAATAGGCCCAGTGGCATAGTAAAAAAACGTATACAAACTATCTCAAGTGCTGAAAACATTTTATGTCTACTTTCATCACCAAGTTCTATTTTTCAGTGGCCAGAAGCAAGGTCCAAAAGATTAAACTGGCGGGAGCCTTCTAAACCACTGTTTGGGGAAGTTGAAACATGCCAATTTGGGTCACTACATTCACTCACCTGAAATCCACAGGTGATGAAAATTAATGTTTGATAAGTGTCTGAATACATCCTTTAGACCTTAACCCATATAAGTGCTGGTTATATCCCTAGTGTTCCAGGGAAGGCTGCATGAAGGTTACTTTAATGCTACGTTGTTAGTTTGGTAACAAGTTATGACAACAAACCTATCGGCATCATGAACTAGTAGCTAATTAGTGTCCCTTTACTGGCTTACATCCATCCAATGTATTCTACCGATAAATATTCAACCAGCAGCCTTAGATGCAGTGGAAACCATATATCTACTACTGTGTTAAATTATGTTCTAGTCCGAGTCATTTCCCCTTCACATATTATTCTCAGGCCAATTCCAGCTGCTAACTTCATAATCCATTATACACAATTATATATAATAATTAGAATATAATCTCATCTCAGAGATATTCCAGTATGAGTAAGCACAATTTGTTGTTTGAATAAGTTCCTGCAGAGTTAGAATGTATTATATATTTACCTGCCTATGGCAACTGCACAAGATCAAAACATCGAAGGATTGGCATAGCTGTTTTGGACATAGCGCCTACTTCATTTTCATTGTAGTAAAAGTTGCAGCTCTGGGTGAAAACTTCACAAATGTGTAACAAATACATGTTCACTCGTGACCAGTATCGGAACATATTGTATGAACGTCTAAATGCTTATTTAGTAATTATACAATGGTGAATATACTCATTCATGAATATAACACCCCACTCTCATTATATTTCTCATTTTGAAAGAATCAGTTTTAACAGAAGGCTAATTTATAAGTAATAGTGAACAAACAGTATACAAAGAAAAGTACACCATGAGAAACCATCTCTGAAACAGAATAAGATCATTTACTTGAGCTCTTATTAAAACACTTTATCTCAGATAGAAGATATTTTCAGTAAATGGACTTCGATGAAACAGGCCAGCATTTCAAATATTACAGTTCATTTCCATAAATAAACGGAAAGATAAAAACTAGAAAGGCACTCATAGAGTTTTTTACTTTTGCAGCAGCCAACCTAAACTATACACTAAAACATTTCCTGCTCTCAACGATGTTAGTGTGGGATTCTAGATCCTCTTTC